ATGAGTTTGCATATCTTATTTTAGGAAATAGAAAATAAAAGTGTCAATATTCCGCCAAAAAACAAGTTACAGAAGTAATGTTTCCAAGTGTTTTTATTTGAATTATTGATTTTCTTCTTTTCAATCCCATTTATAGCTAATTGCGTTTGTAATAGAGTAGTTTTAAATCACCAGTGTCCGCAATAAATTAAAAAGATAAACCGACTTAAAAAAAGGAGCAGGTTCTCGATTCGGATGTATTTTTTTTTAAGTTTTAGAAAATGATCCATTTCGAAAATGTTTTATCTTATTTAAAATCATTTTATTCGTATGGTGACGGATTAATAAAACAAAGTGCCACCACTATTCATCCCATGGGTGTGGCCAGGCAAACTACAACTGGAAACAGGACAACTGAACAGCACTGCAAAGAGAAGGCAAACCTGATATTTGTATCACCTATCCCTACAGGCCAGAGGCCAAAACCCCCTTTCTAAGGAGAGGCCTATGTCCAGCAGTTGACTGTTAAAGGCTGTTAATGATGATGATGAATTTTATTTGGAAGAGTGCACTTCCTGTTTGGTCTTATTCATGATGTAGTCTGTGATACTTAGTTAATTAATAATTCTATAACGGGTCTTATTAACACAATTATACCGTCATCCAGTCTACCATATTTCTTCCAAGTTATCGAAGTATTTTGATGACGTGTTCTGGTGACGCAACGGTATTGTTTTAGTACCACTGTTTCGCATCATGTACACAAAGGAGTGACGTCATTCATTGCATTGTTGTATTATACTACACACTATTGATGAAGCAAAACAAACCGTTTAAAAACTGCATTTTTTTCAATCGATTGTATGTCTGACGAGCTCTCCTGATGGCTTTGTCAGGGCTGCCAAGCTATACAAAGAAAATGTGATAATCGAATATCTAAGCTAAAATAACAGGTCTGTTGGTCTAGTGAACTTGACTGATCAACTAGTGGTCGTGGATTCCTTTTCCGATTAGGATAAATCGTTTCTATTATATATATATATATAAGTATGTATATTAGCTGTCTCGTTACCATAGTTCGGGCTCTGCCTAATATCAGAGGGCCGTTTGTGAGCTGAGTCAAGTCATTAGTCAGTACAGGCATTATCATCATTATAAAAAAAACAGCGATTTTGCGCTGACTTTATCGGCTTTCCGGAGCATATCTATACATTTTCAATAAACACTAGATCTTTATCAGACGATTTCTCGTCTCTTTCATCTCGTTATAGTTCCATCGACAAGAAGACTACCTATCTTTTCTTCTACTTTGATTAATAGTTCTCTGGACTACCTAACAGTCTATTTATACCCACACCCATACAACCGTTCATCCCTTATTTACTCCCTGGAGTGAAAATTCCAAAAATCCTTTTTTAGTGAGAACTTTCAAACGTAAAAAGGATCAGCTGCCAAAATGTCAATTTTGTAGCCTCAGACCGTGCAGGCTCTGCGTTGATGAATCATTCAATCAGTCAGGGCAAATAATTTAAATGTATAGATATGTATAAATATATGCAGTCAGCACCTGTTCCTCACGATATACTATAACCCGGCAATCTCGTGCGCGACCGTCCCGCGGGGTGACAGACAGTGGTGGGCCGAGATAGCGCGTCATTCTAGCACACGGCTACACACGAAGAGAAGTGTTTCCCTTCCCCGCTACACCACCCGCTACCCGCTGACATCTTGAGTACCTCGTCCCCGCTATCGTCTGTCACCCCGCAGGACGGTCGCGAACGACGTTGATGGACTATAATTAGTTTCTTTTTAGTCTTACTAGAGCCATTACTGAAGCAAATGTCAGCGTTGACGTCAAGCTGTCTTCCTGGTGCAATCCCGGCCTAATCATAGCGTATTGACGTCACACGCGGTCTAGATATACAGGAATAAATGTGTCTGGTAACGGTTTGTGTTGCTTTTGTTTGTGTAAATGTTTATGTAAATGTTTATGTTTACTTGTATCATCATATTGATGGCAGATGCCGTCGTCACCTCTCGTCGCTGGTGAACAACTTGTGTTCTGATCGTACTTAGTCATATCTGCTACAGATTAGACAAGAGTATTTGGATTAAAACGAATATTTTAATTAGAAACGCAAAAATTAATTTCCACACGGTCGACAAAATACCTACTTAATAATAGCTTAATAATTAGCGTTTGAAAAAGTACACTAATTTTAATGCGGCTATATCATGATGTAGTAAACTGTATTCCTAAATACTTTAATTTTTCACCGATACTTGACCTTGAACCGATGAACTTCATCAAAATATAACTCCCGCACAGGGATTATATCCTGTGTCTGATAAATAACTAGTAAAAGCATTTTCGGAACTTTGCTGATCTGCCTTAATGAGACACTTATGTGCGAGTGAGACAGTAATATCTGACGTGACCCGAGAACAATGCATATGTTACAAAAATTACATTAAAGTAGAAAATTAATTAAGCGTGACACCCCTGTATAACAAGTTGCAGGCATACCCTAGTTAGGAGATGCGCGCTGCTGCGCCCGCGCATCCGGTGCTATAGTGTACACAGGAAACATACCTAATTATTAAGTGTTTACTGGATTTATAGATTCCTTTATTATTCGTTTAATGGTTATCGTACTTCCTAGAGAGCGGAGTAACATCTTAAGTAAAGATCTTGTGTTAAGTAGTTAACTAAGTATTTTAAAACTCTTTAAATCTTTAACTCATACACCCATATATGTATGGCTATATCCTCAAAAGAGTAAGCAGCGTATTTAACGCACAAATCTTGCCAACGTAGACGTGGTGCCACTCACATAATAGCAAAGAATCTATTACATTCAACCGGCCATTTTAGAAATTAATAATGAAACAAAATGGAGTGTACTGAAAAGGTTGTTCAGAAGGTAAGGCATTAAAAAGAAATTCTTATTGATTTTATTGATGTATTTTGGAAAATAGCCAGAACCCGTCAAGCCTGAGGTATACTCGTATATGTATAATAATGTATATGTATCTTAAAATGGCTGTTACTGGAAAGTCTTAAGATTTTCATAATATAAATTTGTGACGTAATATATATGTGGGGGGAGGATGAAAAATAGATGGCCCCTTATTCAGTTTCATCGCGTAAATGTTTACGAAAGAAAAAAAAAACAATATCGAATGCCTTTAAGAGTAAATAAACAGCTGTTTGCAATCAGCATCTCCACTCCAAAAACCAGGTGCTCAAACTCGGAAGTGGTTGAAAAAATATATCGTAGGGGTGCCTCCTCTGACTACTAGGGGATCAACTTCCGGCGGATATTTCCGATTTTATCTTGCACAATGGTTTTTGGGGTAATTCGACACTTTTAGAAATCTTTAAAGTGTTTGGTATCGGATTTTCGTTAGTGATAGATAATTTATAATATTCTATCTTGCTGAGGGAACTACAACTTTATGACATTACTGAGTTCTAGTGTATAGATAATTAACATTAACATTAACTTTAATCGCGCCTTATCATAATAAATTCATATCATCATCATAACCATAATCATCAATCATAATGGTATTCTTAAATGTCTAACCTTAAGAAAAGTACTAAATTTTTTTCAAATTAAAATGGAACCAAACTGAATCTCCCAAATAAAAACAGAATTTTCCAAATTAATTAATAAATAGTGAGTTGTGCGGTAAAAACATAAAATAAATACAATCTAATTGAAAAACTCTTTGTCTTTTTGAATTCGTTATACCTAAACACTTAAACGTTATTCTTTTAATGCCAAAAAAAACGACTTGACTGTAAGAAAAAAAGTAAATTATTTTGGCTGTGATCTTTGAGATACTCTACATCAATCCATCAATTCTAATTATTTGACAATTCATCATCTGCCTACCCTTTTCCCAATTTTATTTGGGGTCGGCGCAGTATGTATGATTTTTCCATTCTACTCTGTCATGCGTCATCTCACTGTTTACTCCCTTCCTAGCAATAAAAAATAAATAAATAAACAATAAACAAAAAAAACAATAAAAAAAAACAAAAATAAACATAAAAATAACAAAATTGTTTTAAATCTACAAAAAAGAAAACATTTCAGCATATCTAAAAATGTCCCCAAATACTTACCAAAATTAATACTTTAACCTAAATACCTACATAATCTGTCTACCCTTACACATCTGTGTTTATGAACTATATTCTCAAGGGGTTGGTAATGAAAGAGCTATTGTTCGAAGGCCCAGGGGATGGCGAATCTTAGGGTGAGACATGAACACTTATGGATTTGATACTGGCTTTCGCGTCTTTGACCAAATGTTGCATTCCCTATATGTACAAATAAAATAATAAAATCGAATACATTCATTCGTTGTTTCTTTACTTAATACAACAATGTACTCAAATGCTATCATGATCCAATCTGTCATTTTAAATGACAATTATGACGTTTGAAATATATATTTTATTTGACGTTCGGAATTAAAATTAAAATTGGACATTGACATGTTAAGTCAGTGAGCATTATTTCTATGCATTTGTATTTGTAATCTCTTGTTTTTATTAATGATAGGTTTGTGTGGTCCGTGTGGTGACGGATTAAGAATAATATAAGAATAATAGAAGTGTCACCACCCCTATTCATCCCGTGGGTGTCGTAAGAGCCGACTAAGGCAAAAAACCTACGCAGTACAAACAGCACTGCAGAGAGAAGGAAAACTTGACACAAACCCTATACCAACCCGTCTGGCCAGCATGGTATAGTAGGCCAAAACCTCCTTTCTAAGGAGAGGCCAAAGTCCAGTAGTGGACTATTAAAGGCTGTTGATGATGATGTAATAAATATTTTTTCACACAGAACAATATGATATACAATTTTATTATTGTTTCATAATTATTATAACTTATAAACGACTAACAATTATATACAAATATCTGTTAACTTGCGTATACGTGCCTCACGTATATGTAAACTTATTACTGTGTAATTTTTTTAAACTGTCTGCACTACCGAGTCATGCCTTTAGGCGATCTACTGAAACCGCCCCTATTAAATAACACTCTTATCCCTCATAGTGAGGGGTGGGCCATTATGCGCGCACGTGTCTCCGTGTAAGGAAGTGACGCAACACGGCTCAATTGACGGACTAATTGTAATAGCTGTGTGATACGAACTTCCTACATCCGATGTTGTAATTTGAATGTTTTTAACGCGACTATAACAGTTTAAGTATTAAGATATCGAGGGTAACAGGATTCGTTATTAATATTAACGCAACGAATAACATTAGCGCCACCATTATAACCGACCTCACAAAGGAAGACATTCGAAATTCGATTGAATATTTTTTTAAGTCTCTATGTTACCAGTTCCTTTTGCTATTAATTATTGAATCGATGCCAATAATTTAGTATTTTTATCAAATTCTTGGCATTCAATTGGTCCCATAATTTGAAAGAATATTCAGTTTAGTTATCCATTCACTTAAAATCATGTCTAAGTTCATTTGTACCAGTGCTTTAAAAAAGGTAGCCGTTATTTTTTAAAATTTATCAAATATTTTTCTTATAGTATGTTATAAATAGCATTTTGTGTCTCCCCTATTTAATAATAATAATAATAATATCACCATCTTAAAATGTATTGAAAAAAAATATCCAAATTCGTAATCACCATCTTAAAATGTATTGAAAAAAAATATCCAAATTCGTTTTTTTTTGTATGTGTAAAGTTTTGAAAATGCATTTTAAATAATGGTCGTTATGGTTTAGTGTGGAATGTTGTCTTTGCAAATACGCTTAAATATGTTGGTTGGTGATTACTTTTAAATCAACTAGAAAAAAGGTCGAATTTCTAAATTGTTTTTTTTTTATTTATTTTGTTACCTCAGAACTAATCCGTGTGGTGACGGATTAAAAATATGGAGTGTCACCACCCGTGTTCATCCCGTGGGTGATGTAAGAGTCGACTAAGGGAACAAACTACGCAGGACAACAGCACTGCAAAGAGAAGGCAAACTCGAAACAAACCCTATATAACCCGTCTGGCCAGCGTGGTGTAGTAGGTAAACCTCCTGTCAAAGGATATCCCTATGTCCAAGCAGTGAAATATTAAAGGCTGTTGCGGAAGGCGGATGATGATGATGACCTGAGAACTCTGACATTTTTGAATCGATTTGGAAAATTCTATTTTGTTTGGGATAATAAAATAATACATAGGGTGAAAATTAAGGAATTAAGAAAATATCATCATGATGTAGGTAAAATATCATCATAATTTGTAATTATTTTATTATTGCAGTGACGTTGGTAAACATATAATTATGTTAGTTATACCCACGATATCAATTTGTTGGGTCTTATCGTCTTATTGCAATTGTATATCCTCAAACGAAATATATTTAGGTGTGAGTTTTATCTCAAATAAACGAAGTATGCATTTAGAAAACTTAAATTACAATTAAGAAACATCTACTTGGTGTATAATTAAAGAAATGACCCCTTGTGTGCGCGTGCACAAGCTGCTTGCGCATCTGCCACGCAGGTGGTGACGCCATGATGGTAAAATGGCGGCTGAGGGGTGAAATACAATGAAGTTTCTTAGGGGAATGAATGAAATATCCTTCGAATAATAATTTGGGGGAGTTTTAAGAATAAACAAGAATTATTCTAATGCTTCAGAACTTGCAATACTTTGTCGTGATTATTTCGCATTAATTTATATTTTTGCTTTGTGATTTTGTTGGTGAAGGTGTTACCACTGTGCGTATATCAGATAGGGGATTTAATAAAATATCATTATTAAAACAAGTTTAAAATAGAGCTAACAATTCGCTTGACATTCTCAAACAATAATTTAATATGAATTATCGTCCTCTTATGTTGAAGAGTTGTAGATATATATGAAAATAGAACTTATTTATTACAATAAATAACAAAATATTTATAATTGTTAATAGAATAAGTAAAAGAGAGTTAATTTTAATCAAAAAAAAGGTTCAGAATTTAAATAAAAAATTAATGTTCTATTGTTGCAGCTCCGCGCACAACTTGCACGGGCGGTACTCCAAACAACCTCCCGCCTCTCAGCTTTCACTCCGTCCACGGGGAGAATGTCAGGGTTTCAAGAGATGGCTCCATGGCCCGACGCGTGGAGTCTTTCTGCAAAGGCGTCGCGTTCAGCGCCAGGCCCGTTAGAGTCAATGAGAAGGTGAGTTATGAAGAACTATTTTCCCATGCGTAGGAACATCAAATGGTCGGTTAATTAGCAAAGAGACTTAATTTATATGATTTAAGTCTGCTTACTTAGTCTCCCTTACAAGTCCTGAAAGTAGAAGTCCTGCCACTAGGTTCTGTTACGGATCGGGCAGATTTGTTTTTTCTGTACAGTTTTTCAATAGGCTCAGGCCCTACAACGTGACATGTTTTAAAACAATCTGCATTAAAAAAAAAGCCAGTGCTTACATGTTCTTTTCTTTCCAGGTCTGCATTCGCTTCGTCGAGATCTCAAACAGTTGGAGTGGTGTCATCAGATTCGGATTCACCAACCATGATCCTGCTGCCTTAGCCCACTCATTACCCAAATACGCATGCCCAGACTTGACCAACAAGCCCGGCAACTGGGCCAAGGCTTTAGGCGAAAGATTCTGCGAGAAAGACAATATCCTGTACTACTATGTGAATTCCTCTGGTGATGTCCATTTCGGTGTAAACGGAGAAGACAAAGGACTATTTTTCTCAGGAGTAGACACAAGGAGCCCCCTTTGGGCCCTAGTAGATGTTTATGGTAACTGTACCGCTGTCCAATTCGCTGACCCAAGAGCCCCAAGCCAGATTAAGAGACACAGTCCTATGGAAGAAGAAAGGCTAGTGGGAAGCATGAGATCATTGACTGTAGAGGAATCGTTACCTCCACCAAGATATCAGAATCCTTTAGTACCTCTAAGTCTGCACAGGACTAAAGGCAGAAACGTACAGTTTATCAATGATAGAGGTGTCGCAGCGAGAGCTGATGCCGAATTTTGCCAAGGATATGTATTCACAGCTCGTCCAATGCGTCCAGGACAAACCATTGTTGTCCAGATTTTGGCCACAGAATCAGCCTACGCTGGCAGCTTAGCTATTGGTCTAACATCCTGCGACCCTGCAACTTTAAGACCGTGTGATTTACCTGATGACGCTGAGTTATTATTGGATCGACCAGAATATTGGGTAGTACGAAGAGATGCTGCTAATGCTTTAAGAAGAGGAGATGAACTGGCTGTCACCCTTACTTTAGATGGAGAAGTACGCGTCAGCAGAAATGGATGTACTGCAATTACAGTAATGCATGTGGACCACACGCTGAGACTTTGGGCATTTGTGGATATTTATGGAGCTACACAGAAAGTAAGGATGTTGAGTACACAAGTGCCTCAGCCAGCGCAGACCCCTCCTCAACAGCTACGCGTGTTGACTGGTTCAGCAGCTCCGATTAATGCCGGTGCTGGTGGCACAGTCCTCGTTGTCAGTCTACCTCCTCAAAATGGCGGACAGAATGCAGCTAATCAGCAGGGCATGACCTTAGCTAGCGCGCATTATATTGAGGTGAGTTTCATTTTTATTATTTTGGTCAAGTTGTTTGTTGTCGTAATAAATTTTAGTGGGCCAATTTTGCACAGTAATTCTTATAGATCACTTCGTCCCATTTTTTATTTTGCATGAGGGTTGAGTACAAAGTAAAAAAACAGTGGTCTTTTAACTATCGCCTTCACTAAAACCACGTGTAGTTCTTCGTGAGAGCCTATGACCAGGGCCTTAGGCATAATCTAGGATCGAAATCCTGAGTTGAAGAACTACCGATTTTTTCCCACGAGAAGAAAATTAGCACACGAAGTACAAAGCTTTAACATACAATTTCTTTCATTACAGCCAATTCAAACATCCCAGCTCTGCTTGACTAGCCTCTCCAATATACCAATCAGCCAACCGAGCTGCAATTACCAACAGCGTCCACCAAGAACCGACAACCAATGCTCTTCAGCCAGTCAGAACAGTCAGAACGAGCAAGTACAACTGCCTAATGGACACTCGGAGCCTCTGCGACTCGTAGAGAGGTTGCCTAGTGGCCCATCCACGAGCCGCCATCAACCCGTCTATTCAGTAATAGGCGAAGGAAACTTAACGGGGACTGAGTGTACCATATGCTATGAAAATCCAATAGATAGTGTTCTGTACATGTGTGGACATATGTGCATGTGCTACAGGTGTGCCGTCCAACAGTGGAGGGGCAAGGGGGGTGGCCAGTGCCCCTTATGTAGAGCGCCAATCAAAGATGTCATACGTACATACAAGTCCTGATGTGTTTAAAAATTCCAAAATCGTTTTTTGTAATCCTAAAATGTTTCTGTATATATCTGCTTTAGTAGGATAGCTTAGGAACTCTGTGTTGAAATTGGCGACGCGACAAAAATATAATATGTACTAAGATCGATCTTTCTTTAGTCCAATTTCAGCACAAATAATAAATAAAAACATAATATATCAATATTTATAATATATAACTTGCTTATAGATCAGTAATTTATTCGATGACGTAACAAAAGGCGGTAGTGACGTAAGCAGTGACGGTTAAACGGCTATGATTCGAACGATATTTGTGTAGAGATCAAACAAAATTTTATACAAATATCGTTTCTTTATAGAATATTATTGACTTAATATATAATACGAATCTTTGATGTCCAAGATACTAAGTAATGTGTAGTAATATTTATTTTATAGTAACATTCGTATAGGAAATGATATGAAAAGACTTAAAATTCTATTGACATTAGATTACATAATGTAACAATTCCGGAATTATATAATGTTGTATCTCTTTCTCGAACACGCAATTCCAAATTCAAAAATTTTAATCGGGAAATACAAACGTCACACATACTTTTTTTTTCATTACAATTAATCAATAGAGTGAATATCTATTTATTGGCCTTAAGATGAGATCACTTATATGTCTAGATAGTGTGGCGCTATAAAATAACTATATTTGATTAGACTGGTGGCAAATCGATCGTTTATAATGATAGAGAAATATCAAAGGATCCAAAGGTGGAAAATAGTGGCCAACAGTCGGACACTATTTCTTTCAAAGCTTTTACAGCTTCGACTGTCTATCTTGACATATCAAATGATCAGTTGCGAAACTTGAACTCGTTTCTTTAGCATCTACTTCAATTTCTGTGTTGAGTTTTTCTTTTAACAACTTAAATTATATTTAGGTAGTTCTTTCTACATTCAGGTAACTCTTTTCGTAATAGCGAAGGTTATACAACTTCTTTCCTCTGTCTATTCACTCTTTTGGACTCTGATTGAATTATGACATTAATTTACTGAATAATTTGTTTTGAAGTTAAGCATGAGGCCTCAGGTGAGGCTAACCAATGTATATAGACTAGTATGCCAGGAATAGTATACTGTAAGTTCCTAGAATTAGGAGATCATAGCGTTTTCGTAGCACAATAATTAGGACATTATCTCGATAGAAAAAAGACTTACGAATAACTGAATGATTCCAAATTCGAATGCCTTAGAAAACCGATTGTCTCTCCATCTATGTGTGAGCTTATTAACTAGATTAGCAAACCTTGATCACAGATGGCGTTAATTATACTTTTATAATTTATTCTCAATGTCTACCAGAGACTTCGGTTTTTGGATAATACTGTGAGAGTGTAGAACCATTGCCAATCTCCCCTCTCCTTAGCCAAGTAAAATCGGAGACAGCAAGTTATCAACTCCACTGGCTCCTAGTAAAGAATCGATGTTATAACGTCCATGACACTACGATAAGCATTAAAATATTTAACATTATTCATGTCATGATTTTAAAAATAAGTTACCTCCACGGGCTAAGAAATATTTATGATAGAAATTTCTAGAAAATGCACCAATTTCCATAACTATTTCTTAGTTGTATTTCGTTGTCTCCAAAGACATATTGAAAGGGTTTATATGTGATTTCAATAGTTCAATTTGATTATTCTAGCTTACAGAAACAGGAGTTCCTAAAAATGCTCTAAAAGATTCTCCAAACGACGTATGGTAAGCGCTGAATATTCTTAAATGCTCTACTAATTTAAGAGTATTCGTGGAGCCATTCTTAATATAAAACGATCAACAATTTATCTCAGACACGCTCGTAGATCTACCAAGCTACCACGCTGTGTTGCAAAGGTCAAATTTGTACGGTCGTTCATGGAAAATCCGGCAGAAGCATTTTTCATTAAGACACTAGGCTTTAAAAGAGCTTTATTAAGTCTTTTACAGTTGTTTTAAACCCTCAGGTATGAAGCTAGTATTCCCTTTAGTGACTGACTACTAATAATAGTCTTTGGCAGGCCATAGACAGAATAATATGTTTAATAGTTTTGACGTACATAATGAGTTTTTTTTTCTATAAATAGATATGAAAGTTAACGAATTAGTTTTCTATATTTTGTGTATCTTTCTGAATGCTCAATTTCATGATAGCAATTTCTAACATATCATATTATACATGAGCCGTTTTGTATAACAACCACTGTCGAGGCATTATTTGCTTAGTGTTTTACTTGACGAATTTATACAAAGAAATTATTGGGTACACATAGTCTTGGAAAGTAGTTTTTGGTTTTGCTTGAAAAAGTAATAATGTGTACAGCATAATACTTAAATTAAGTAATATTCTTAAAAAACACTTCTGCATAGTTTTTTTTTCTTAAATTGCCATGTAATCAAGCTCCACAGCATTTTTCTGATTAAAAACTAAACGGTTTACACTATAACAGTATTAGAAAAAACATTGTTTTTTATATTTCAAAATTCTCTATGCAGAAGTAATGTCATTAAAAAAATGTATTTAAACATCACTTTATATTTATTTATGAAGACTTTATGCATTTATTTTTAATATTACCGCCTTGTAAATCATGTGATTAAGAAAATTAATCATTCATTTATTCCGTGTTCATTAAATTACGCACATAGTTTGCTTTAGGAAATCCAATTTTTACCTTGTTTATAGTTAAAATAAACATACATGGCGGTCTTTGAGTTCTGTACAAATTGTATATAAAACTACACTATTTCTCTCTACTTTGAGCCCAGGTGAAATCCTTTAATAATAAATATATATTTTTCACTGGTTTAATATCTACTGGGTTTCGTTTTAATCTTGTATAGACTATATTTCTATAACTACTACTATGACTATATCTCTCTAATGAAGCCCTATTTAACAGGTGTCTGTAGGCCCAATTGCCTCCAAGTCAATTAATATTTAGACATTAAACAGTTCAAAGTTGCAATTAGTGAACACGGAATTCATTTTTCATTTGTAAATAATGAACCATTCCTTGATTACCACAACTTGTACCAAACGATTAGCCAGTTGTTGTCAAGTTTTTTTTTTGTATAATCGTATATACTCTTTTGTTTTTTTTTATTGTGTACTCCGTACTGTGGCTGTTGTGACAATACTTTGATGAAAATATAATATATAGACTTATTTGAAAAAAACATTTTTTTAAAGTATCGGTTTTTTTCTCTGTGCATTTATCTCTACTCTATATAAATATTCTGTCAAAATTTAAAATGATTTCCTAATTTTTATTAGCTACAAAAATACGTTTGTAAACTACAATATTATGATTTAATTTTATTTTATATAGATGTCTATACGTGTGACCTTAATTTACATTTAAAACTGGTACCATTGTAATTTGCCACTCATAAGAATGGTTTATGTTTTAAAAATACAAGTTGCTTAAACTATTTTATATACCATTTACTACTGTCAGAACAACCACAGTCCATTCTAGACTTATTTATTTATTTATAAGACATTTTTATAAAGTAATATAATACCAAAATATGAACAGTTTGACAATTGTAGTGTTAAAAGCAGACTATCAAAGCCAAAACTTGTAGCGTTTAATGGAAAATGTAAATATCGAACGAATGTGGGGTTGATGTGTGACTAAAAGAATGTTTATATTTTGAAAAAAAAACAGTAGGTATATACTCGTATATGATATTGTTTTTCTTGTAAATCCTCCAATACATGCAAAGAAAGGTACCTGACATATTTTTTTTATTTTGGTGTTTCTGTGAGCGAAAAAATTTTTGTTATAGGTATTAACCACTCTACTCTTTCTTCTCACATTTCTTTTTTTTTACTAGGTGCTATATTTTTTTTCTTCTTAACTTATCTTTAGTAAGTCTTCGGACTTGAGAACATCAATTTGACCAAAAACTAGTCATAACTTTTCCAGGTGGATTTACACAGAGAATATTCAATGATTATAAATACACTTAGCTTTGGAAATGATAAAACACAATAAGCATCACTTTTAAAACTTATACCTATGTTTTATTCACTCGAATAATATTTTATAACATAATTGATGTTAAGTAAGTTGATGTTTTTGTCACACATTGGTCCGATGGAACAGGAGTATGTGATATTGTTTCTTTTTAATATTTTCCGAACTCGGTCAGTGTACAGCGTTGTCATCTAGTCTTTAGTAATTTATTTTTCTTTTTTATTATTAATTTGTGTATGAACGCACTATTTGTAACGATGTTGGAGTTTAGATTAAGTTTTGAAATAAAAATGGTTATCGATCGATTATTTGTGCATTTTCAATATCTTACCTCTCCTTAAGTATACCCATCAGCACGGCTGAACGAAGGCCTCCTCCAAAGAGCGCCAACCATGCCGGTCTTGGGCAGTCCGCATCCATCCGCTGCCAGCCATTTTGCTCATTTATACCTATATATTATCTACCAAATAAGGGGATGAAAAGGGCTTAACCCTTGCCTTGAAGAGAATCCATAGATCCAAATTCATACAAACCCTAACTGAACCTACTACTTGTACAAAAATTTATGGTAGGTATATTAGAGCAGACGAGTAGATAACCTGATGGTAAGTGACTACCGCCGTTCATGGACACCCGCAAGTCAAGAGTAGGTAATTGACTCAGGTAATTTCATTCACTCCGTGAAAATGCGAAAAGATTAGGCCATGGTATCATTGGTCGAGCATCCCCAAAGTGCCGAAGTATGGCTCTGCCGAGTGTTTTTTTCCCACCACAAAGATTTTTTTGTTATACATATACTTAAAGGGAAAGACTAGTTACTAAAATGAGAAAAAGTCGTATAAAATATAAAAAGTATAAAAATGGGGTTTTAAAGCTATTAAAAAGTCTGAAATCATTTTCATTGGAGTACACAATAAGTAAAGCTTGCAATAAAACAAAAACATTATATAAAAATGCAATTTATTTACAGAAAAATTACTTGTACAAAAAATTATA